TCATTTTAGTCACTAATTTTTCAATTATAATACGTTTAATTCTGAATTTTAAATCTTGTTTCAAATAAAGATAATTGAAGATACCATTACTTAATTTCAAGGGTAAAATCGTCAATTTAATAAAAATAAATGTCAAAAAAATATTTTTGAATTTTTAAAAGTTATTTATACCCACTAAAAATAAAATTATGTAAAATTAATAAATCTAATTTTTTTTTACCAAATTAATTTTTATTATGTGTTTGAATGATGATCATATAATTGGTGATTATTTTTATTTTTATTAAATTAGTTTTTATTTTTCAAAAAGTCAAATATGACGACAACTTTTATATCATTATTAATCCAGTCCATTAAATATATCGATTACACATTAAAATCTTAACAACCACCCATGATCATCATCCAAACACATAATAAAATTTAATTTAGTAAAATAAATAAATAAGCAAATGTCTAAAAAATTTATCAATTTTACATAATTTTATCTTTGGTGAATAGAAATAATTTTTAAAAATTTAAAAATATTTTTTGACATTTATTTTTGTCAAATTAGTTTATATTTTATTAAATTGACAATTTTGCCCTTGAAATTAAACAATAGTATTTTCAATTGTCCTTATTCGGAATAAGATTCAAAATTCAGGATCAAATGTGTCACAATTGAAAAGTTAAGGACCAAAATGATACGAGCCCTAAATTATAGAGATTGTCAGTGTAATTATCTTTTCTTTCAAAATATTATATTATTACATTTAATTCTTTTTGTTAAGATTGTGTTACAAATTTACAAAAAATCAAATTTTATATAAAATACATGATACAGTTATTAAAATTTTAAAATAATAATGCCTTTGTCTAATGATCACGGTGAAATTATTAGATAAGAGTATGTGATAATAAAACAATCAAAGTAATAATGCTCTTCTAGTGATCCCAGTGAACTAAATTATAGAGATTGTCAGTGTAATTATCTTTTCTTTCAAAATATTATATTATTACATTTAATTCTTTTTTGTTAAGATTGTGTTACAAATTTACAAAAAATCAAATTTTATATAAAATACATGATACAGTTATTAAAATTTTAAAATAATAATGCTCTTGTCTAATGATCACGGTGAAATTATTAGATAAGAGTATGTGATAATAAAACAATCAAGGTAATAATGATCTTCTAGTGATCCCAGTGAAATTATTAGATAAGAGTATATTATCATAAAACAATCAATAACATGTATTATTATTTAAAAAAATTAATAAATGTGTCATCTGTTTTACATATGATCCTTTTTTTTTTTATAAATTTATAACAGAATGCTAACAAAAAAGGGTTAAAATGTAGTATGATAATAATTTGAGGGATTAACTATTGAGTTGTGAAATTGAAGGGTGCAAACAAATGGGTCATGATTTAAAGAGTTTACTGTAATTTGCACTTTACTAAATTACCCTCATACCTATGTTTTAGTTTTGGAAGATAAGTTTTTTAAAATAATTTTCAAAATTAAAAACTTATTTGGTTATGAATTTTCAAATTATTTTTGAGTTGTATATTTTTAAAACAATTTTTAAAAATTTGTAATTTTAAAACTTGTTTGGTTATGAGTTTCCGAAACTAGTTTTTCAGAAGAATTTTTTTAGGTCTTGTGTTTTATTGTCTTGTAGCCAAATTTTTTTTTACAATATTATAATCAATTTTGTTTACTTCTTTTACATACATAATCTAAATTTATTTGTTAGATGCATCTAATCTAATCTATTGGGCAAAGTTTCACTTCATATATATATTAGTTTTAAAATTCTAACACTTATTTTCTTATTTATATTCACTCAATTTACATACATTTTAAACGTTTTATATTTATGGAAACAAATTTATAAAACTATTAAATAATGAGAAATATAAAAATAAAAATAAAATATTTGACCCAATTTAAAAATTAATATAATTTTAATATTGTATGTAATTATTAAATTTGTTTTTCATTTCTTCTCTTGGGTTGATAGCTTTGTAGATAAATCTCGTTGACCAAAGGAAGGTGACAGCGGAGAAGATGAAAGCAAAAGGAGAAGAGAGATGGAGAAAGAAAGTTGGACGGGCTTGTAAGTTTAAGGCCTCCGAAAAAAACATCAACAAAACCCAAAACCAAATAGGATTTTGGGTTTTAAGTTTTGGGTTTAAATAGATTTTGAAATGTATTTTTAAAAACAGAACCGTTATGTAGTTCGAAAAGAGCCCCCGAATCGCCCGAATTTGAAAAAGGTGAGTTTTGAATGTTTGGCTCAATTGCAACAACATTGGTTAAGTGACACCACACGCGAGAAATAGAAGAAAAGATAGGAGAGGAGAGGAGAGAGAGAGGAACCAGTCGAAGAAGAATAGGCGAGAGCGACCACTGTCGAGATCGACCGGTGTTGACACTACCGACCTGGGTAACCATCGACGACCAGCGAAAAACTCTGCCCATCGTCAGTGTTGTTCGTCGACCAGCGAAATACCACTTCGACGTGAATCTGGATTACGGACTGTACTCACCTGAATCTGCTGGTCTGTCAATCTGTGAATGTCGCTTAATCACCTGAATCTGCTGGTGCGTTTTTTGTGTTTTTTTTCTTCTTATAAATTTATGTTTTTTTGTTAAGCTTGAATGTGGGGGGTTAGAAGAATGGTTATCCATGTTTGGGTCTATGTGGGTAGATGATTTCAATTAAAAAATATGTTTAGGGGTCTATGTTTGTTCTTGTTGAAGTGAAATCTATATTTGGGGTCAATGTTTGACAGGGGATTAGAAGACCATATTAAGGAATGCAGACCATATTTGTTGTATAGCTTGGCTCACTTATCTTGAATGGAATTTCCAATTTTTCCATCAGTTAGTTACATGTTTTCTAGACTTCTATGCACAGCACTTTGCAATACTCAAAGTAAAATTACTATGTGTGTGATGTATAGCTATATAATTCTTCTGCTATGTGTGATGTATATGTGTGTTTTGGGATGTGTCCATAGTTGAATCTGTGTGTATACAAACTGTGATTTGAATCTGTTTATAGCTGAATCTGGTTTGGCATGTGTGATGTATACAAAGTTGTAGTTGCCTTGTTATTCTATAGCTGAATCTGTGATGTGTCTAAATCTGTAGTGGTCATATTTGTGATGTACTCACTGAATCTGTGATGTCTCTAAGTGGTGTTTAACATCCACTTTAACCTTATTTATGTGAATATGTGAATCTCTGAATCTGTGATGTCTGAATCTGAATCTAAGTGGTGTTTAACATCACTGAATCTGAATCTGTGAATCTGTGATGTCTCTAACCTTATTTATGATTTGTTGTGCATTTCATTCTGCTGATTTTATACAAATTACAGTAGAGTGTTTCACACAATGGACATTGATTCAAACAATCCTACATTGAGTAGGGGTGAGAAAGTTAAGGAAGCAGAGAACAATCCTTCATTAAATGAGAGTGGTGAAATTGAAGAACTTAAGAAGGGGATGTGTTTTACCTCAAAGCAAGAAGTGCACGAGTTTTATGAAAAATATGCTAAAAACCTTGGATTTGCTATAGCTTACAGAACACAGAATGTTGGAGCAGATGGAAAGGTGAAATATTTTGGAATTGAATGTACTCGGGCGCAGAAGAGGACAAAAAGATCAGAAGTAAACCCCTTGAAACCATATTTGTCATCAAAAATTGATTGTAAAGATAAGGTAAGAGCGACTTTACAACCGGATGGAAAATATAAGTTAACTACAGTTGTGCTTGAGCATACGCATGATTTAATTCCTAGCGACTCACGGCATTTTCCAATGAATAAGAGGATTCGTACTCCTGTTAAGAGAAGATTAGAAATAAACGATGAAGCTGGAAAAAGGGTGCCTAGGAATTTTTATTCTATAGTTGTTGAAGCGGGGGATATAAGGCATTAACATTTGATGAACGAGATGCAATGAACCACTTTGAAAATGCTAGAAAATTGAGGCTTGGGGTAGGGGACGCCGAATCAATTGCATTTTATTTTCATAGGATGCAACAAGAAAATTCAAACTTCTATTCTGCAATTGACTTTGATGTAGATGGTCGCATACGAAACTTGTTTTGGGCGGATGTAAGGAGTAGGGAAGCTTATAAAGCATTTGGGGATGTTATATCATTTGACACTACCTATCTCACAAACAAGTATGATATGTCGTTTGCTCCGTTTGTAAGAGTTAATCACCATGGACAGTCAATCTTGTTTGGTTATGGACTGTTATCTAATGAGAACACGGAGACATTTGTTTGGCTATTCAAAGAATGGTTAAATTGCATATCAGCCACTCCTCCAAAAGCTATTATAACTGACCAGTGCACAGCCATGCAAAATGCCATACAAATTGTCTTCCCACAGGCTCGACATCGTTGGTGTTTATGGCATGTAATGAAGAAAATTCCTGAGAAATAGAGAGGATATTCCCAATATGAAGCCATCAAATTCGCTTTACAAAATGCAGTCTATGATTCTTTCAGAAAATATGAATTTGATGAGGAATGGCAAACGATGATTAAAAAGTTTAGCCTCCATGACAACAAGAGGTTGGGGGTATTATATGGTGAGTGACATAGGTAGATTCCTGCCTATGTGAAAGATATATTTTGGGTTGGCATGTCAACTACACAACGAAGTGAGAGCATGAATGCATTTTTTGATGGCTATGTAAACTCAAAGACTACTTTAAAGCAATTTTAAATCTCGAAACAAATTGTATGATTGCTTAACGGTGTATGAGTTTGAGAAGCAATTTCGTGTAGCCTACACAAATGTGAAATTTAAAGAAGTTCAAGTAAATTGAAGCGACTCTTGTGAAGGAGGAGGGATCCATTTGTATTTATCATGTCAAGGAAGCTGTGCTTGTGGATGAGAAAATCAAGAAAGTTGAATTTCTTGTTTACTTTAATTCAATTGAATTTGAAATGCAATGTGTGTGTTGGTGGTTTGAGTTTAGGGGGATCATGTGTGCCCATTCCCTTAGTGTGCTCATTGAGAGGTGCATATATGAGGTTCCAGATAAGTACATTATGCTGAGATGGAGAAAAGATTTGGAAAGAGGGTACACATGCATTCCAACGACATACACGAAATCCGGGGCTGCCCTCAATGCAAAGGTACATGATAACTACCACGAGATATTGGATGAAATTATAGAAATTACTTCCAACGATGATGGTAAACACAAAGCCATTCAACTTGGGTTGAGAGAAATCAAGGAAAGAGTAAGAAAAAATGAATCTAGTTGTGCGAGTAATGTGCCACCTTCTAGTAGTACCGTCCCACCTTGTAGTAGTAATGTGCCACCTTCTAGTACTACTCGCAAGGTGCTTAGTCTTTTGGTTGCTCGCCGAAGAGGCCGTCCATGTACGAAACGGAAGGTGAGTAAAGTGGACGAAATAGTGCATCAGTTGAAGGGAAAGAATAAAAAGGCACCAAAAGTCCAGGTATATTTTTTATTTTCTACTTGTATGTAAATTTCAGAATTTATTTTTGTTAAACATTTTCACCAATGTGTGTTACTATAGGGTCGTAAGATGGGTTAATGTGAACCTCGTAAGTTGAATTTCAATTGTACGGACAGCATGGAAGACAATACGTACGATCGGGTATGTGTTTCATGGTCCACTACTATTTTTTGTATGGTATTTATTACATTATGTTTGAACTTGGGATAGTCACTTTTGTGGACTTTAATATAGATGTGGATCCAATCGCCCCAAATTGTGAACTTATGTTTGTAAACCTATGGTATTTTTGATTCTGAACAGGTTTTGAACACATTCTGAACAGGTTATATTTGATTCTGAATAGGTTCTGTCAAGTTCTGTATATTTTGAACAGGTTATATTTTGAACAGGTTCAGTAAATAATGAATCTGTCAAGTTCTGTTTCCAGCAGAGCACCTCTTCTTATTACAACCAGAGCAGTCCAAAATGAAGCACTCCACCTGCCCCGAGTTCTACTTTTGATAACCAGGTACATATCCCATTTTCTGTCATTTGATCAGTGCAGCAAAATGAAGCAGAATAAAGCAGCAGAATGAAGTGCTTGATTGTTTGATTGTTCAAGTTACATGAACCATGTCAGGTGCTAAACCAGAGGAAGTGCTTAATTGTTTGATTGTTTAATTTTGATGCATTGCTAAACCAGAGCAATGTGCTAAACCAGAGGAACTGCTTAATTTTGATATGAACCATGTCAGGTGGAATTTTGATGTATTGCTTGATTGCTCAAGTTACATGGATGATATGATAAGATATATTAGCTTGGTTGAATTTCTTGTTTACTTATCATGTAGAACCTCATGGTTAGCTATTGCTAAGATATATTAGTTGTTGCTGTATATATATCGTGGACATTGATTATGTATGGATGTTCATTGATTTGATTCAATTCGTAAGCGAATAAGCCTTTCATAATGTTTCTTCATGTCATTTTGACAAGTACATGAAGCAGTAGTTAGAAAAATAAGGCACAGGATGGGTGATACAATTGCTCACAACTAAGAAACTTGGTCCACCTATAATTTTTAATAATGGAGACCGAACTGAAAACATTAGTAACATATTGAAGTGGTTGTAGAAACGCTGATGCAACAGGATGGGTAATACATGAAGCAGTAGTTAGAAAAATAAGGCACATGATGGGTAATACATTTAATGAGCAAGCTTCTATAAAAGCAATGTCTGTTTATAGAAACGCTGATGTAACAGCCCTCTCAACTTCCTTTGGGAAGTCTTCATCCTCAATTATGAATCTCGGCAAATGGCTGCATGCGAAGTCAGCTGCATGCTTTCCTCCATGCCCATCAAAAACCTGAGGTAACCAAGGACATATTCAATTCTTAGAATACAGATGTAAAAGCAAGGTATGTCAAACTACTGGTCCACCTGTAAATTCCCATGTGAGAATGCAGCCCTAACATCAAACCAGAAAGGCCATTACAGGTTTATAGTGAAAAAGTATTTCCAGCACTAAAGATCAACAAATGACATAACTGTAGACACCCTATTTTTGACCGACCTTAAGACTCAGACGTCATCGCTTGAGCACTCAATGATCACGCATGTTTGTGCTCATTTCGAGTTTCCGGAGTTTTCGGCTGAGTGTTTTGCCTCCGGGCCTCTGAACTCTTTGTGTTTTGGCTCGGTTTGTGGACCAAGCCTTGTTGACCTTGCCTGGAGAGAGAGAGAGAGGTCCGTAGACCACTTTTTGTAGTCGTAGACTACTTTTCCCTCTTGTAGGCTAGTTTCCGATTTTCGATTTCCGGTTTCCGGAGCCTTCGGCCGAGCGCCTTGTCTCGGGACCTCTTAGCGTTCTCCTCTTGGCCTGGTTTTTGGACCATGCCTTGTTGCCTCTGCCTAGAGGGAAACAGAGGTCTGTAGACTACTTTTTGTGGCTATAGACCACTTTTTCCTCCCGTAGACCACTTTTGGTGCCCGTAGACTAGTTTTTGAGGTTTTCAGCTGCGTGCCTTGACCCGCGAACTCTTGTCTTGCATCATTTTTGATTTTTTTTAGCACAAACCTTGTTTTCCTTGCTTGGAGGGTGGAATAGGGGTTGTAGACCAGTTTCTCTCCCTGAAAACCACTTTTCCTGCCTACCAGCCAGTTTTTTGGTCGGCCAACTGGTGTTGGTGGTCTTTGGACCACCAAAAGTGGTCGACAGCCATGCCACCACCTTGCTTTCCTTGTGCAGACCACCTCTTCCCCCTGCTGACCACTTTTCATTCTTGCAGACAACATTCACTGGTCGGCTGACCAGTGCAAGTAGCTGGTCGACCACTTCAACTGGTCGGCAGCTTTCCTGCAGTTTTCTGCAGATATTTTCTTGCCAGCTGTGCCAGCTGTTGGACATAGAAGGCATCCTCCATACACGTGTATAGAGGGATTGCTTGGAGCCTAAAGCTTGTTCAACAAGCTGGATGCATGATTTTCTATATAAGGGGGCCTCCTCCCTCTTGCCTTAGGTTCATAATTTTGTAATGGAGCTATACATATATCATCTATCTCTATATTGCTCATCCTCTTCATATTTGTGCTTGAAAGTGCCTATTCTTCACACTTTTGCACACAAACACCTAGTGAAACACCACACTCTTGTTGCTGAGGCACCTTGAAGCTGGTTTTGGTGTTTTTGGATTGCTTTTGATCCAAAAAGGTTGCTGGAGTTACTTTCTTGAAGTTATTCTACAAGGGTGAGTTTTTAACCCCTTAAAGCTTTGTTTTTGTTTAAATCTTTGGCCCTATTTGAATGCTGATTTAGGCCTAACTTTAAACTGCAAAAAGCTCTGATTTTAAGTGTTTAAGATGTTTGTTTGAGGCTTCCTTGGTGTTGGGGGTGATCTACTCCCTTGCATGCCCTATTTGCTAGGGTTTTGAGCCATCACTTTAGGATTTTGTTTTAGCCTTTATTTCTACCACTAAATTCCAGAGGAATTTCAGTGGTGAAAACTTGGTTTTGAGGCCCCAAATGGGTGGGGGTTGTCCCCCATCCTCTTCTCTTGTATGCTTGTGTTGATGGCTCATCACAAGAGCATGTAGTTCTATCTTCTTGAAGCTTTGTTTGAACACTTTTTTATGACCTTTTAGACCTGCCATGACTCTATTTTTGGTTGTCTTGGTCACCCCTTGCATGCTTCTTGTATGTGTAGTGTAATCCTCTTTGTAGCTCATCAAAGTAGCATGTTTGTTAAGCATGTTTTGGCTCCATCTTAGCATGTCTCAGGCCTTATTTCAGCATGATATACCTCTGTTTATGGTTGGTTTGATTACCTCTTGCATGCTCCTTGCACTTGTAGTGCAATCCTTCTTGCTAGCCTAACATGCATCATGCTTTGGACCATTATTCTAGCATGCTTTTGGCTCTACTCCAGGAAGCTTTTACTCATGTTTTTCCATGCTTAAGCTCTATTTTATGTTGTTTTGGTCATGCATGCCTTGCTTTGTATAGCCATAGTGCATTCTTGCTCATTAGCTTTGAGTTTCCAAGCCACTAGCATGCATTGCTTGGGCTATTTGTATGATTTAGCATCATTTGATACATGATTTTGGAGCATGTTTCATTGTCATGCCCTCACATCTTTCACTCTTTCAATGCTTTGGAGGGTTGGTGCTTTATGCCTTAAACATGAGCCAATATGTATGCTATCTTACCTAAGCTTTTGGGCTGCCATATCAATGTATTTTTAGTCTTATTTTGCCATGATACAACTCTGATTTTTGTTGGTAAATCTTATGCTTGGTTTTGGTAGGTGTAATGTAATCCTCCTTATTGACCTTGCATACTCCATGTTTCATGCCTTCATGCTAGCTTGTTTTGACTATACTCCATACATGTTTTAGCATTGTTTTGACATGCTCTAGAACTGTTTTGGGTTGTCTTGGCCATATGGTTCATGTATTGCATAGCTATAGTGCAACTGCCTATGCTAGTTTCAAGCTTTGAGCCTCTTGCATACTATACTTGTGTTGTTTGAGTGATTTGGCATCGGTGCATATAGTGTTGTCACACTTCCATGTTTATCACTTCTTGATCATGTTTGAGGGTTGTGCTCTTATGCTTAGTTGATAGGCTATTGCATGAGCATCACCATCTTGCCTTTCATGCCATCATTTCATAGCATTTTGGCCACTTTTATGGAGCCTCATAGGTCTATCCATATTCGGTTTAAGTCCATTGTGCATCGTATTGCATGCCTCGTGTGTAACATGTTTTACTAGCTTCGATGCATTAGCTTTTAAACATGCCATACATTGCATTATGTGTGTTGCATTGTGTTTGGATAGGGTGTTAATCCAAACACGAGAAACGAGGGACGTTTCATACTTGAAGTGATGAAACCTCATTTCTCGGTCGCCGACCTTCTTGATCAAGCATGATAGACGTTAAGGCCCTTATGTGTTATTTGTGCATTCATTGAAATTGAATTGTGCAAACTTGGCTTCTCGGCCATCGTGCATTACGATGCTCGGTTGGTGGTCCGAGGGTCAAGAACCACACTCCCTTGAGCTTAAGAAATGATAGGGACGGTGGTTGTGCACCCATACCTTGCAAATATACTGCCGTGCCCTTTCTTGTTCTCTGTTGCAGCAAAATGGAGCTTGGGCAGAATTTCTAGTTGGCAAACCAGAAAAAGTAGCTGGCCGACTACTTTTTCTGGTCTACAGCATACTTAGGTGGTCTAAAACACCAATAAGTGGTCGGCAGCCTTCCTGGAGGTCTCCATGATGGAGTAGAAGCTATCTGGAGCTTTGTGTAGTGTCTTGAGAATAATTGCAAACAGAGGCAAGTTGGGGTATAGTGATGGATTTCCGAATGAGGCGACCGAGCATGCATGCACCCGTTGCCCCGAGGACCTCTTTTTTACTGCTTTAATTCGCTGCTTTACTTAGCTAGCTAATGCTTTGGTTTTGTATTTAATTAATTAATGCGCTTAACTATTCAATTTATGTTGTAATAACTAATTAGTTAACTAGGATTAGTTAATTAGTTTCGTTTTGTAATAATTAGTTTAATTAGCTTAGATTAGTTAGTTAGCTTA